AGCAGTGCCTGGGACGGATGCTAATCCGGATGTGGTTTACTGACACTCACTGCTCTGGAGTAGTGTTGTTCCAAGCACAGCACATCACTTGGGCGGCTCGTCCAGTCCCCTTGGGATTGGGGAGTCCACCCTATAGACAGTGATTGCAAATCTCTCTCTTCCCGGGGGTGAGGCCCAGGGAATGGGCATTGAAAACCACCGTAAGTGATCCTATGCATGCTAATGTTGGGGAAACTTTCTTCGAAGAAAATGATCAGAAGAGTGATGTGAATGGACTCAAAGGCATTTTTAGTCCCATCCGGTCTTCAAAATCCTTTGAAATGGTATTTACCTGCATTTAAATTTAACCCCCTACGGTGAGGTTGTGTGTTTAATCCCTTGCCTTGAATTCTGCGATATTAACTCCTGTGTGTGTGTGTGTGTGTGTGTGTGTGTCCCTTGTACTGTTGGGACCCAGGAGGAGTGAATTATGTCCTACAGCTAGGAGGTGCCTAAGATGGGGTCCTGTGCAAAAGCCTGTGCTCCCACTGTGTCTGCTGCTCCCAGGGATAATCGTGAATGCAGTTTGACTGGGAAGGTCGTGATAATCACGATGACAAGTTCCGGTGGAGACATCGCTGTCGAGGTGGCTGGCAATTTAGGCACCGATCTCCTGACATCCCCTCTTTGGCCCCAGGCAGCTGAGCCCACGCACAGGATAGGAGGGAGAGGAGGGGACAATGCAGGGTTCTGGAGTCAGACAGTCCTGGGTTTGGTTCTGCCCCTCCACTTCCTAGATGCGGACTCATAATAATAGTACCAATAAAAAATAATAAAAGCAGCTAACACACAGAACATCCACTGAGTGCTGCGTGCTTTTTTGTGCGCGGGTGTGCTTGTTAGCGATCAAGCCTCACAAGTCGATGAGGCTGGTCTATTGGCATCACCTGGATTTCCTAGGTGGGGAACCACAGGCACAGAGATGGTAAGAAACTTGCCTCAGGCTGCACAGCCAGCAAGTGGCAGAGGTAAGATCTGAACCCAGCCTTCCTGCCTCCAGATCCCTGCTCTCAACCGTGCTGGGCTCCTCCGTGTCTGCTCCTCTCCGAGACTCTTACCTCCTTCTGCTTGGTTATTCGGTTCTCCAGATCTCGCACCTTTTTCTTTTCCTTCTCTATGGCCTCTTTTGCTTTGTGTTTCTCGTAGGCGATGCTGCTCTCTGAGATCTGGAAGTCAGAGACAACCGGTTTGAGGGAGCGTACTTGAGAAAGGAGGGACAACGGAACCTTGAGGGAAGCCAGGATTGCTAATCACGGAGATCAGTGAGTCAGGGTTTGGGAGCGAGGGCTCAAGGAACAGGATGCTCGCGACCCATCGGAGAGAGGGATGCGAGTCTTGGCACGCCCGCCACGGCGAGAACCTGGAGGTCGTGTCTGGTCAGTCACCACATAACGGAGAGGGTTGTTCATCACTCAGGATTTCTGGGCTGTGTTCAGGAAGTGACGCGCTGGTGAGTGGTCGGGTCCAGGCATTTGGAGCTGGGCCACCAACTGCACCGGCCTGTGTTGGCATCAGTGTGGGCCCTTGTTGGGAAGTACCTGGCTTCTCGGGAGATGGGGCAGGAGAGCCTGAGTTGGGGGGGGGAGGGGCGCCTCCTGTCCCAGCAGGCCTGATGCCTGTGGCTTCAGTCTCTGGCCTTCAAAGGCTTGGGTCCACAAATGGATGTGCAGGACCGTTTGGAACAGAGAACATATAGCCCCCAGGTCCGGTGACGGGGAGGGGACTGAGGCCCAGCCTCGCCTACATCAGCCCAGGAGGTACGCGGTGCAGGGGGGTTGGAAAACTCTTATTTGCTGCTTGGAATTCTTGCCGTTGTGCTCCCGTACAAACACAAAGTTCACCAAAAAATATTTTGAATTTATGCATATAGGCACAAAGCCCTGAAGCGATACATACTGAAATGTAAATAGCAGTTATTTTGGGGGATTGAGATTATGGCAATTTACATTTCCCTCTTTCCGCTGGTCTGTATCTTCCACATTTTGTTGAGCGAATGTACGTTATCTGGCAAAAAGAAAATGGATTGGAAATCGGAACAGGGAAGATGACTGCTGGGGCTGGGACGAGGCTCCGGGGATGCGTGGCCCTGGAGAAGACCGTCTTCCCGACGGCCCTGAGGTGTCTGCGGCCTCCCTCCGCCCTGCCCTGCCCTGCCCTGCCCCACCTGGGCTCTGACTCACCTCCCGGCACGAGCTTGGCATTTTCCCACTGCCAAGTCTGCTTGAGACGGTCCGGCCCCCGCCCCGCCAGTCGTAAGAGGCTGCCAGC